GGACAAAAGTGGTATTGGAAGTATTGGCAATATTATGACCAGTTTGCTTATATTCTATACTTTCCTTATTCCCAACAGGCTTGTTTAACTCTATAAGATTGTCAAGTTTCTGAGATCCGCTAAAGAAATGAAGTTGAGCATTGGATTTCTCAAGGTCCCTTGTTAGGATTTTAACCTTAGTCTCAGAGTTCTCATTGACTAATTTTATTTTATTAGGCTTTCAGTAGACTCTTGAAGGTCAGATATGACTCTCTTTCTCTAGCTCAATCTTATGTAGCTTTTTAAAAATAGCACTATTGACATTTTTCAATTTAAGACAATCCTGAAATAGCTTATCAAAGGCCTTATAGTTATATATGTTACGATCATCTTCTGACCTTTCATGTGAAGCGTTAGATTTCTCTCTATCTTCAAGTAACTCACTTTTCAACACAGAAGTGAATGCCATATACTTTCCAATCTCATCATGAGAGGACTTCTCACTTTGATTTTTATGAGCTAGATTCGTCATAAGTGAGAATAGCATTCATAGTGATGTAATACAAGCAGCGAATGCAAGTTCAAGCAAAGATCCATTCATTGTCGAAAAAGGGCTGCTGACTCGATCGCGAGTAAAGAGGGTCAAAGAAGGGTTGTGATTACTCATGCAAGTTACAATGGACGAAACTTTGATCATTACAAGCAAAGGGACAAATTTAATGCAGGGCTTGGAAGGAAAAACAAAGTGGAGCAACTTAATTCTGGCAACGGAAGGAGACCCTGGTGGGATCAACTATGCGACCGTATAGTTGATCATGGCATACGGTCGCATGCCTATATACAGCAATCCCAGACGGTGCCTTGAAGACTACTTTGGCATAAACTATACGATGGCATAAACATACCTGGAACCAAGAAATTCCCTTTTTCGCGAGATCATTTATTTAGGTTAAAACACTACTCTATTATATCTTTGTAATCTTTTAGGAGTTATTTTCGATTTAACTAGATTTTTAGGGTTTAATATAAATAGATTTCATTCCATCTATTGTAAAACAACTAAGACATTATTGAGAGATTAATGAGAGGCAATTTGTTTTCTATTCATTTGTTCTTCATTGAACAATTTACTGAATTTATCAAGATTAATTCTTGTTGCGTTCAAATAACTGGGCGAGATTTACAAATCTTGTGATCAAAAGGTCAATACATCGTAGGCAATTGGTTGGTTGCATGATTCACTATTTTGGGTCAAATCCAAAACTTTGATTTATTTGACTTTCTTGGGTTTGATTCAATATCGTATGGGTTTCGTAGCTTGACTTGCTATGTGTGTTCGCATCGCATAGATTTGCCTAGATCTCTCTTCAAGTTAGGACACTCAGATTTCACATGATCAAAACTTTGGCACTCATGACATCTCACAGACATCTTCCAAGAATCTCTAGAGTCACTCTTCTTACGTTTAACTTTCTTATATATACTAGACTTACCCTTATATCCCTCAGAAGGTCAGTTCTTATTCTTAAGAAATTTCCTAGCAAGGATGGCAAGGTCCTCATTGTTAAGTTTTTCATCATCAGAAGTATTCTCTCTACTTCTCTAGCTGTATTGAGGGCTATGGATTTTTCTTTCCTAGAGTGAGGTAGGCTTAGCTCATATGTTCGAAGCAATCCTATGAGTTCTTCAATTTTAATTACATCTAGGACCTTACTCTTTTAAATAGCAGTCATCTTAAATCTAAATTTCTCAGGTAGGGATCTCATCACTTTTTACAATCTTAGCCTTAGGAATTCACTTACCTAAATTGAACTAGAGTTGACTATATCATTCAGTGTAGCCTAGAAATCATCAAAAACTCATCATCTTTCATTCTAATTTCCTAAAATCTGGTAGACAACATATGCAATTTTAAGTTCTTAGCGATCTTGGTTCCCTCATGTGTGATTTCTAGAATATTCCAAACTCTTTAGCAGTCCCACACATCAATACACATCTAAATTCTTTAAGTGACACAACCATAACTAAAGCACGAAGGGCTTTACTATTCTAGTTACACTAATCTAAATTAGTTTTCTTAGACCAAGTAGAAATATCGATAAGGGTAACTACACCTACAACACTGGTAATAGGGGCAATCTAAGCATTCTGAACACTCTAACCAAACTCCCTCATCCATAGACTGAAAGAAAACTTTCATATTTACCTTCCAATGGGCATAATTACTGCCATAAAAAAGGGAGGAACAAATAATAACCGACTCATCTAAAAGGATCGCAAATAAGGCTATGATACCACTTGAAAATTAACTTAATCGAGATTATTAATTGATTTAGATAAAGTTTAGACCCTAGAATCCGCACAATTGAATTAAAAGTAATAAATCACTTTTTAATTATTTCTAAATTGTTATTCAATCATATCAATTTATTCTATGTTGAATTACCACAATTTGTAATACGAAGCAGTAAAGAACGCCAAATTGATCACGGAGAATACCCTTTAAAAGAATCACAAACTATGGATACTTTGCTAGTAAATAATCCACTATAAAAGAAACAACTTACAATATGATCCAGACCCAATTAATCCTTATTCATCTCTGACCTTCTTTTCCTGAAGCCACCCTTGATCCTACTTGACTGCGTGCTTCTTACACCAGATTCCGACCTTTGGAATATCACCTTGGTCCTCTTGGACTTCTTGCTCCTCATATCCCGACTTATATTACCTTGTTTCTCATGGACTGCATGTTTCTGCACCAGTTCCCGATCCCTGGTATCATTTATCTCCGGTCGATTAGGTAGTTTGTTGTTTGATCTAAAAAACCTCGTGTTTTGATCTTGTGGTTTAATATGGAACAACATGACTTGATCAACAAAATATATTTAAGAAGAATTCATGGATCAAGTACCAAGTGATAGTTGAACTTTGGAATCAATGAATGTTTTAGATTATCAAAGAATTGATCACTATGGAATAAATCTTACTCAACACACTATAGGACGTCCATGAGGTTCATTATATATAGGAAAAAGTGTTTGAGATGAAAAGGGATTGAAAAAAATCATTGTTTTATACAAACAAGAATTTTTGGACTTCGATGCCACTGTCGCTCGAGCACTAGACTAGCGATAGGAGGGAGACACATGTTCTGCTTCTGTCATTGGAGCACCAATTGGGCGGCAGGCTAGCGAAAAGTCCGAATCTTGATCTTTTTCTTGTATTTCTTTGACTTATCTTTTTGGATAGCAATAGGCGATTTCCCAATATTGGACACAACATTTTAACACTAGAAGTCACGTTTTCACATAGCGACATTAACTCAAGTATCGGATCCGAAGTTTGGGCCTCATCATTGAATGCTTATTATAACTTAGATTATTCTAAATCTATTTTAACTTTGATTAAAATATAATTAAATCCTAATACCACTCTAATAAATTATGATTTTTGTCTTAGGAAATTGCTAATTATAAAATAGACTTTACATCGCTTTTTAATAAAAAAAAGTGAGATTGTATGTTATTTTTTAATTTAATAAAAAAAAGTGACAATTTAATTGGTGAACATAGAAGGGGAGGGATGGTGATTGTGTCACTTTATTTATTTATTTATTTTTATTTCCGTCACTTTGAACTGATTTCAATGTTTTGATAGGTGTTTGTCACTTTTTTTTTAATTTCTGTCATTTTTTGAGTTTGTCACCTTTTTTATTTTTATTTTCTATCATTTTTGTAAATGACAAACATCACTTTTAAATAAAAGTAACATATGTTTAATAAAGAATTGACACTTAACTTTAAAAGTAACACTTAATTTTACACAATATTTTTTACTTCCAAACTATTTTTCATATGATTTTTCAAAAAACCCTTAATTTTAGGGACATTTTTGGAAATTCTCCATCTTTTCAAATAAAATTTGATGAAATGTGTTACTGAAAAATTGATAAAAATTTTAAACTTATAAAAATGTGTGGATAAAAATGAGTTTTGAAAAAAATGAAAGTCAAACACCAACCACCAAACACAAAGTTTGGTTTGTTATGAGAAATTTCAATTTTTTTCCTATTGCTTCCAACTAAGATTGGTAGTACGATTGAGAGTGAATTTTCTTATTATTTATTATTTATTATTTTTTATTTTTCAAGTCTAGTTAAATCAACGGAGAAAGCAACCAAAAGGCAAAAAACTTCACTCAAACCTAGTTGATGATGCTTTTCACCACACATTTTCTCAATTTTTATCAAAATCTACTAAATATCAAATTTTAATCTCCACCAAACATGAACTTAATTTATAAAATTTATTTTTAAAATTCAAGAACATCAGCAACACTAGAATTAGATTCTTCATAAAAATATCATTTGACTAGGGACATGGTGCAATCTTGTTGAATTGCCAAGCTGACCCATTTACACATACAAACTACGCAAGAAACATTACATTTTTCTTCACATATATTTAGAAAACGTGTCCAAATGCTTGTTGAGTACATATTAGTGATGACAACGGGACGGATTCGAGACGAGGCACCCCCATCCTGCCCCGCCCCCACCTCGTCCCGTTTGGCTAAAATCCCACCCTACCCCGTGCCTCGCCCCGCCTTAGATGGGACGGGGCGAGGACAGGGCAACTTTTTGCCCTGTTTAATTAATTATTTATTATTTTATTTTTTTAATACATTTTGAAAGTTTCAAATTATGTTATTATTAGAGCATAAAATACAAATTTAAAATAAATTTTTAATGGATGAATTGTCTAAAAATAAAATTATTTTTAATTATTTTTATTTTTTCTTCACGGGGCGGTTCGGGGTGGGCCGACATCGAGACGGGACGGAGCAAATTGCCATCACTAGTACATATTCATGCCCACATCAATTATTGCATATGTAGAAGAGGCTAAGAGCGTGTTTGAACTGGATTAAAACAAGAGCAAACATACGATAAAAATTTTCAATTATCATATTGAGTCGAGTGTAACAACATGCTTATAGAATACGAAAACCCCACAACATCAATAAACTTTAAACACCATTTCCGAAAGAACCTAGCATGAAAATAGATCAAGAAACAAGAAGCACTCATCTTATGGTGTAAATCAGTTGAAATTATACACACAGTTTCACCATCAAAGACAAGTCCTAAATTCTAGTGACTATGGGTTTATATTGTGGGAAACCAAACATAATATTCCTTCAAACTTCCAAACAACAAATTGTCCGCCAATGAATAAAAGGCAAGATAACAGAATTATGCGGGCAAATGAAACTGCACTTCAGCGCACCAAACGAAAAACTACACTATAAAAAAAAGGACATGTTCCTGCTCTTCCGAATGCACAATACAACCATTCAGACTACCTGCAATTATAAATGTCACACAGAGAGTGTGTTAGTCGATCAAGCAACTACATATTTATAAACAGCACCAATTATCAAACACAACAAGCTTTTTTTGAGAACAAAATGTCACATGGGAAGACATAATTTACACACTGACAGACCTGTTCATTTAAGAAATTATCATTTTCGGTCAACAAAAATGAATAGACAAGGTTCACCAAAATCATGCGAGAAGATGGTCAATATAAAGCTACACGTCCAGAAGATTTTTTCATTAGAATCAGACAACATACATTGACTTTCATATAACCGTTTGCCTTGGTCCATTTCTTGCACTAGGTTATATAGCTACCAAGGAGATAGGGTAAAAGAAAGGATAAAAATAATCCTGCCTGGTGAATGTTGGGTTCTTTATTATCTTGCTAGTACCTCAAGAAAAACCGCTTACCTTTCCCAGTAATGTCTAGCTTAAAATCTCGTTAAATTGGAAAATCCAAATTAGGCTATTTTTCTTGTGCACGGGGCTAATTATGTTACCTGCATGGAATACACAGTTGGACTCACCTACCATCATGAACACAGACATACCATCATGGTCTGGGTGCATAACATTTTGTCCACCGTAAAATCACCCTTCTCTATAGAGATCTGGCTTGTCTTAAAAGCACTTATCATACATTTCACATAGCAGTTGAGTTCTGAATGATCGTTTAGCATAAGATACATGAATTTTCTGTGTATTGAACAAAATGGATTATCAACATTGAGCCTTTTTGCGTATCTCCTTGCTTCAATTGTCTAATTAAATCGACAAATTTACCCGTATTTCAAGACTAACCTAAGTGCTCTCTCTCTCTCTCTCTCTCTCTCTCTCTCTCTCCACACTTAGTAAGCCAACCGCCACGATAGCAATTTTCTAGATAAAGTGAGCTGATAGGAGTTAAATCATTCTCACATCCGTCTTTCTGGAAACGTCAGTGTACATAAGCTCACGGCATCTCGTTTTCTTAGTCCAGTCACCATCCTCACCATAGAACATGCCATTTGAGAAAACTTTAATTTCACTTCTATTTTCATTCAAGGAGGAGGAATGCCACCATGCTTTAATCAGTGTAAACATATATATTCTGCAGTAATTTAGTCTTATTTTATTGTGCAGCGAAGAAGAAAGAGATTAAATTTGGGGGATCCCAGAAGAGAAGGTAACTGCATAATCAAAAAGTTCTTGTCTTCTCTCGATAAGCTCCCACTTAATCTGAGTAAGAAAGTGAATTTTTTGTGTTTCTCCACCCCACACTTCTTGCTTCTGGGATTTGTTCATTTTAACAAATGGAAATGATCAAAATCTGCATTTTTCCGTTCCACCAGGTTGCCTTAGAATACAAACATAAAATGAGCAAAACTCATGTTAGGAGGCGTCAATCGATAACTTCGTTTAAGAGATGTCTGTGACAGCTTTAGGGAGGAAAATTTTCATGTTGAAAAATGATTTTATAATAATTAAATGCCACCATACCGAAATATCTTATCACAATACAATATGGAGACTGCATGACAGAAAATCAGTTCAATGGTTCAATAAGAAGGCAGAGATAGAAGTAACATTTTCCTTGATTTGAAAGTTCTTATGGACAAAGAGAGAGGAAAGGAAATCCAAGAATAGGTGTGCACCTTCCATGAGTTGAAAGTACAAGTGGTAACACAAAGTAGGAGAACAAAAGAATGAGGCTGACTCAAACTAAAAGGAAGGCAAGGTTCGAGTGCTACCAATTTTATGTTTCCTATGCTTACAGGTAAAGGCAGGTCAAGTCAATACCTATATTTCCCCTCATTGTTAGTTTTCAAATAGAGAGAGGAAAAATAATAATAATAATAATAAAATTCTAGATTTGCAAACAAAAAGAACAGTAGTTAATTTCTTTTCTACCATTTAGAAACACATAATGCCCTTGTGCTTTTTTTCGCCTTTTCAACTTAAATCTCAATTGCAAACACAAAAGTGGCTGATGGAATGAAAGCCAAAGATAGCTCAAGATATGGGTGAAATATTTATTAGGGCAGAATAATGCACCAGCAGGTACCAACACAACCTTTTTTCACTCATGAGAAAGGTCAGCTGCACTAGCAAGTTTGGAAAGTGCAGCATCAGACCTGTCCATGACAACCACAAGCTAACATGGTAGTAAAAAACGGCCAAGAAGATGCAATCAAGGCTCCCGCACCCGTAAGTACATCAGCATAGCGATCATTCCTTTTGCATGTAATCTTAAGTCTTCGATTTGCAACAAAATAGGAATATATCATAGTTCTCGTTCTCCTAAATTATCCAATTCTGGTATTATGCCCTTGTGCTTTTTTTCGCCTTTTCAACTTAAATCTCAATTGCAAACACAAAAGTGGCTGATGGAATGAAAGCCAAAGATAGCTCAAGATATGGGTGAAATATTTATTAGGGCAGAATAATGCACCAGCAGGTACCAACACAGCCTTTTTTCACTCATGAGAAAGGTCAGCTGCACTAGCAAGTTTGGAAAGTGCAGCGTCAGACCTGTCCATGACAACCACAAGCTAACATGGTAGTAAAAAAACGGCCAAGAAGATGCAATCAAGGCTCCCGCACCCGTAAGTACATCAGCATAGCGATCATTCCTTTTGCATGTAATCTTAAGTCTTCGATTTGCAACAAAATAGGAATATATCATAGTTCTCGTTCTCCTAAATTATCCAATTCTGGTATTCATATTAATTACTTTTCCAAGCAATTTCCCACAAGGTTTCAAGTTAAATTCTCCCCAGTCCTCCGAAGCTAAGACTTTTAACTCTGAAATCCCATGAATCTGCTAATAACTATTATAGACGCATAATTCAACACACATATTCCAAATGGGCAATTAATATGCACCCAATTACAAGAAATTATCACATTTTCCATAATATGTGTGACAATTAACACGATGACATTTCCGAGAAAATGTAAAAATTGAATAACAAAAGGGAAAAGGGAAACATAAGAAATTTGCCACGCATAAACTCACAAGGCGGTGAAATTCCTTCTCACTTGGCAACCATGCGGGCAATAAAGTCCTCGTACCGGATCTTGCCATCGGATCCAACGTCTACCTCACGAATCCACTCATCGAACTCCGAGGGCTCCAATTTCTCCCCAATATTCGTCAAAATATGCCTGAGATCCGAAACAACAACATACCCAGTACCATCCTTGTCCAGCACCTTGAACGCATCCCTTAGCTGGCGATCAAATGGCTCCGGCTTCAAATGCTTGGACATCAGGTCCAAAAATCTATTAAAATCAAACGGGGAATTCAGATTTTCCTCAGCGATTATGGATTTGAGCTGGGCCTGAGTCGGGTTTCCTCCAAGTGAACGCATCAGAATTCCCAGCTCAGACGGGGCGATCTTGCCATCGCCGTCAGTATCGAAAAGTGTGAAGGCTTCTTTCATTGAGGAAACCTGATCATTGCTCAGATCTTTTCCCATTTTTTCAGGCTTTTTTCTGATTTTTCTGTCTGGATTTCAATATGTGAGTGAATGTGAATGTTTTCTGCAGATGCGTGGATTTTGATGGAAGTGGAGTATTTTAGCGTAAAATAAGTAAAGTTGAGGGGCCATCAATTGATAATAAACGCAAGTGCAAAAAATAGAGAGAGGGGCCCGTGGCCCGTAGCGGTTGGCCCAGATGAACTGGACTATGAATGTCGTACGAGAAAAGTATGCGTAAATTATGATTTTGTGAGGAGGAAATTATATATAAATAGGTAATTAAGTTTTTCAATTTAAAAATCTAGTGTGAGGTTTATTTAACAAAAAATCAGATATAAATCAATTTATAAATATTAATAACAACAATAATAATAATATAAAATTAAATTATTTTACCGACCCCGATCTCCCATCGATCGCACACTCCCAGATCCTAACATCATTGTCCTTTATTCTCCTTCCTCTCTACGCTTTCTATCTCTTTATTCAAGTTCTTACCCATCACCACCACCACCGCAACATTATTACCACTTGCACCACCATCACCATCACCATCACCATCACCACCAACCATCTCAAAATCCGGCTAAACTGATTGTAGGAGGAAGAGATCACCCATATCCACCCCCCCCAAAAATTATCAAATCCATATCTGCCACCCTTCACGTTGGCAATCAACACAAATCAAACTACAGTTGCTCAACATCGTCATTGGGTTGCTTGTCCACAGAGCGGCCCGTCGCTACCCATTCATAGATCGTCCCTATCGCCGACTCACCACTTCTTAAGTATGGCAAGATTCGATGGCAAGCGACGCTGTGCTCGAAGCAACAACTAGACGAGCTATTGTGATATGGTGCGTGGCGATGATTACTGCTTACCTATCAGTGCTGCTTCTAATCTGATAGTGGTTGATTCACAGCGGCGCATATTTGTTATTCCCTTTCCTTTCCCATTTTTTTTTTTTTTATCTTTTTAAATTTTTGAGTTTGATTTCTTTGATGGTTATGGTGGCTCATGTGACCAATGGTTGCTATGGTGGTGTTTTTTTGTAGTTGTAGTGTGTGGTGGTAGTTTTGCGACAATGGGTTGACAGCGACAATGTGTGCGGTGGTCGTGGTCACAAGTTGGTATGCGTTGGTGATGGGGGCGTTATTAAAAAGTGTTGGTGGTGGTGGTGGTTGCAAGTGACCGTGTTGGCAGTGGTGGTATGTGACCACCTATTTGGGGGTGTGTGACCAACTATTTTATGATTTATGACCTAAAAATTCAATAATTTGTGACTGAAAAATAATTTGTGAATAATTAATTTCAGAAATTGTGATTGAAAAATAAACTATGACCTATAAATTTTTTAACTTATAACCGATGAAATAAATTGTGACCTATCAAAATTTTTTATTGTGACTATAAAATAATCGATTACCAATTAATTTGATAATATGTGACCTACAAGTACGTATCGTGATCTTTAATTGTATAATTGTGACTTTAATATATATATTTAATTAATAAAATATAATTAATAATATTTTAGTTTTGAATTTTAAAACTTAAACTTGAAAATTGAATTGCTCCACACTTAATGCTTGCTTGTGAATTTTTTCCTTTTGTGAGAATACTAAGGAAAATAGAAACCGTATTAATTTTGATTTTATGAGAGTACTAAAGAACATAGAAACCAAATTAAAATTGCAATTTTAAAATCATGGGTTTGGACTCACGTTTTTCATTTTCGATCATTTCAAAATCAAATCAATTCATTTGGAAATACTTCATTGTTGATTTCGATAGTTAAAAAGTGCTTGAAATCAAATCGAACAGTGCATCCATTTTTTTTTTTTTAAATACTTGTTCTACCATAAATATATTATATACTAGATCACTTTATACTTCAAGAAATTTACTTTTTAAATGATTTCTATAGGCTCTTTAGGAAAATAATTATGATAATATTTATATTATTCAAAGAATGAAATCACAATCTTAAATTTCATGGTTGAATCTTGTATTACTTTATTGGTTTAAACTTGTATGAGACAAATATGTCAATATCAGAAGGTATATATTAAAAAGGATCAATTTAATCTCATGTTTAGCCCTTCATTTTCTAAAATTTATTTTTTTAAACTTATTTTTAACCCGCATTTCATTTATTTGTATCAAAATATACAAAACACTTAATTTCTAGCTAAATCAACCAAAGGCTACATGTTATAGTGACACTTCAAACTAATAAATATATAATTTAACTTTTTTGAAAGATGTTATTTTTAAGTCGCTAAAATTGTGGTTTGAAATCAAAGCAAACAGCAAATAATGGTTTGATTTGAAAAATGAAATGATTTGGTTTGATTTTGAAATTTTCTCAAACCATTTTAAATGGTTTGTTTTTAAAATAATTCAAAAATCATCTAAATAGAATTATGTTCACCCCCTGTCAGGGTTGAACAAAGAAACTGTCAAACCGTAAAATCGAATTTAATCATTAGTTTGACACCATTGGCTTGTGTCAACGGCTTAGGTTTTGATACTTAAAATCCATTTAAAATCGAACGGGATAGTCTATAATTTTTTTTTTTTAAGAAATTACATTTAACTATATTACTTTTATGTCGCTCAGCAAATTGTGGTTTGAAATGAAATCGAACCACAAAAATGATCTGGTTTGAAATTTTTCCAGACCTTTTTAAACGGTGTGGTTTGATAGTAAGTCAAAAACTGCACAAATCGAGTC